AGCAGAAATGAGGACAGAAGTTCAGTTCCCCAATTGCCTGCCCAGCATTTGGCTCACTGCACTGTGCTCGCTCCCTGTGTCCTTGTCTACCCAATGCATCTGTGGGATTTCAGGTGAGAGGCAGTTGGGAAGGGATATGGTGCCGAGATACAGGGAGGTGGCAATGGAGAGAAGGGGCTGAGGAAAGCTGGGAAGGAAGAGCCTGCTCCTCTTGCAAGCTGTCAAGCTGGGATGCTTTGTCCCCTCTCCTCTTCCTTCCCCTCCCAAACCAAAGGGAGTCCTTTCAATCCAAGGAACCATGCAGCAAACACAGGGTGGTTCAGCTGCAAAGCATTTGAGCTTATTTCTCCTAGGGGTTGGGGGGAAAAAAAAAAAGTCACACATTATGGATAGGCAGTGTAATGCCTTGTGACATCCATGCTCAATCTTCCCCTCTGCATGGAGCAGAGTACCATGCTCTGAGGCTCGCATGAAACTGAAGATGGAAACAATGAGCTTCCTCTTGCTCCTCTTCTCCAGGTCACACTGATACAAAGTGAACAAAGCACAGCAGCAGCAAGGAACGATAGCTGGGGAACCTTTGCTCCCAGTGGTAGACCAGGCTCACAAGCACCTGCCTGACAGAGGAAACAGGCACCATCTGCTCTTCTGTTGCCATTTACTTAAGGGCTGAGGGGACTTCACAAAATCCAATGCAATGTGTTAAATAACCAATTTTAGCAGGCACTGGGTTTCCCCTGTGGAGTAACAGTGTGGCACTGCAGGTTTACCAGAAGCACTCCCAGTTCTTGCTGGCAGCAGGCATCTGCTGTCTGATTAAGATTTGCAGGAGTAGGTCTCCAGTGGCCAGTTTCAACATGGATTTAACTTCACTGAGGTCAAAGGTATAACTTGAGGGAGGAACTTTCTCATCCAAGATCTTTATTTAATAGCAGCCTGCTAATTATGACTGAGTGCTGGGCTCCTGGCGAGTCCCCTGCCAGCCCTCAGACATTAACTGCTGGCTCGAGGGCCATTTGCTGAGGAATGTCCTAGCAGAGATGGTGCTTTGTGCCTAAGCTGCTCTGCTGCTGCTGCTGCTGCCTGAATGGCTTTTGCATAGAGAGGCTGTGAGAACCACTGCTACTGAGGGAGAGATCTTCATCTTTTCTATTGTTTAGTCTTTTGTCTGGCGACACTTGTGGCTGCATTACCCGCAGCCAGCATTTCCCTCCCCACCACCACTATTTTTGTATTTTTCAAAGGGATCCTGCAGGGAGGTGGAAAGAGCTCCAGTTACCTGTTTGGTGGCTGGTGGTATTTCGTTCTGTCTCTTCCTGGCTGTTGGAGCAGATTCACCGCTGGGCTGGGGTTACTTCTTCGCACAATTCTTTTTACATACTGCAGATGTGGATCTTAGCTCATGAAACTGCACTTACCTACTATTTCTGGATGCGTCTTCCTGATCTGAGTTAAATCCTGCCCTCAGAGGCAACATTTTGCCCTTCAGAGTAATTCCTCCAGTGAAAATGGTGTAACCTTCCAGATTTACATTCCTAAGAGCAAAATTAATCCTCCTGAATTTAAGCTGCTGTCTTCCCGGGTTTCTTTCTTGTCAGCTAAATGTGGGGCTGTTAACCTGTGGTTAGGGAAGGTGACCAGAAAGCACAGAATCCAGGCTTGCAGGTTAATGCAATTCATTTGTCCATGTGATCTGTACAAACAGGTGATTTCTGCACAGATTTAAAATGGACCAGAGGGATATAAGCCGCACACAGCCACTAGACAATACATATTTTATGGAGTGCACCAGAGAAAGCTAAAGAATACATTGCTCAGATGTGCAACGTTAGCAAAGACCTGAAGCTGCACGTAATATCTTATTGAAAGCCAAGGCTGGTGGGGAGGGTTGGAGAGAAGGAGGGAGGAGGAGGAAGGGAATGAGACAAAAGGAATGGAAATCAGATCCCTTGTCAGCAAACTGGCTGCATTTTAACTGGAAGGTGCTGTGGTTACAGACAACCCGAGGGATGTGTAGGTGATGACGGGAGAAAAGAAGCTGTGCTGAAACGTTACAATTACTGCAGGATTGGCCCAGGCTCGTTTTTCTCTTACGTTTCTAGTTGAAACTCTGAGCACAACAACAGGAAACCTGCACCAATAAAGAGGAAAGGGAGGGAGGAATTTAAGGTGGAGAGATGTACAGAGGTGGATTACACCTGCAATGAAGCTCCCCATAGAGCTATGAGCGCAAGAGGAGGCACTGGGAGAGGGAAGGAGCTGTTGTTTGCTGATCTTGAATAAATGTCAGAAATACAAACACATGTTTTTGAAGCGTAAAGCAGGAGCTGGTCTCACAAAGGCATCTGTTTGCTGACAAGGCTTGTGACCACAAATGTAGTATTGTCCTTTCCAAAGGCAAGAGAAGAGAGACAAAGAAAGCATGGTGGGAAGGAGTAGGCTGGGGTTATTTTTCCACCAATAATACCGGTAACAGGACCAGACGATACGGTCACAGTGCCAGGGCTGGATGCTAACCCGCCTCCCTGAAGCACTGCGCTGGGGACTGTCTGCAGCAGGAGAAAGAGAAGGAACAGACCCTCTGTTGGTATTGGTAGCGGAGGTGTAAACAGGCATCCAGCACACCCAGACCCACATACCGGAATTACAGTGCAGAAACTGAAAGGCTTGGCAAAATGCAATCCACCTGACTCATTAGAAGAAACGTGGAAGCCCAAATAACTTTCCCCATGTTATAAAAAATAAGCGCCTTCGTCCACGGATACATCTTTCTTAAAAAATCTGCTTACAAACCAAAACCAAGCAGCAAACACAGAAGAGAGAGAGAGAGGCAGGTGGCACTCTGAATTTCACGTGGATCCAAGCAGCTGCTCGGAAGGATAAAACTGTAAAGGCAAAAGTTTTGCCTTGGGGAGTGAATGTGCGCACCGCAGTAGAGAGGAGCACTGGAGGACAGCGTTTAAAATCTGTGTCACTGACGTGGCACCGTTCTTGACAAAAAGGTACATGCTAGCTGTGTCAGGTAGGTGCAAAGTACCAAGTAGAGTTGTTCCATAGCACAAACCAAAAGTAATACATGGAGTAGGAGAATAATAGTAATGATAAAAAAAAAAGATGCAATCCCCATTCAGATTAAGCAATGGATCTCAACCTAAGTCTACAGAAAATATGAAAAGCTCTCAGCAACCTGAAATATGAGGGTTTGTTTTTTAAATGACCCTCTAGCGAAGCAAAGACATTTTGATGAGACAATTTTCTCATCCCCTAAAGGCAGAGCAGACAACTGGGCCTGACAGTAATTTCAGACTTCTACCAAAATAGAAACGTGTTAGCTCTGTAAAGGCTACAGCCGAGAGGAGCCTGCAAGGCATGGGTGGCATGAGCATAGCCGTATATAGCATATACGGGTGCATCTGTACTAGCTGCATCTGTGGCCGAGGTCTCTGAACACGGCTCTGACATAATTTCTGATGCTGTAACTGTGTTTCCCTGGTGATTTGTAACCAGTGCTGGACTGGGACTTGAAGGAGCTGGGAGGGAACTTCCCCATCTGCCGTGCATGTCTTGTCTCCCTGCCAGGGCACCCCACTTAACCTCTGAGTCACAGCGGGATTTCTTTATTCACCCAGACTATTACCACGTACTCGGGTGACCCCTGAGTGTCTTGCACAGTATGAGGCTGCTTCCACATGGACATGGGATTGCAGCCGGGGTGACACCCCAAAGTTTCCTCCTTCTGGGGGTGAAGTGTGCCCCCTGCTCCCCAGTCACCTGTGGGACTGCTGTAAGGATGGGTTTGCCAATGAGTATAAAAAGCTGAGGTTTTCACATGCGTAAGAGGGTAAGTGGAAACATTTGTCCTTTAGTCTCTTGGCTGTGGGTAGTTTTTCCCTGCTCCAACTGTCTGCATGCCATTGGCATAAAAAGCAGCTTCAGAAATGGAGAAGCACGTGTCTCCCGCAGGGCTGTGGGAGAGAAGGGAAGACTCTTCCCAGTGGTGGTGGGAGCAGGGTTAGGGCAACCCCAAGAGCTTTTGGCAACCTTCCTGGTAAATGGCATTTAAAATAACCGTGTGCCCCTTGCACAGTGCTCTTCTGTTGCCAGGTCTGCTCTGGGCACTGGGTTCCCTTTGCTGCTCAGCTCTGTGAGACAGGGTGGACAGGTAATGCCTATGTAGACATTTTGGCTGGGATGCCTGCATATTTCGTAGGACTCGCACTTTCCCGCTGCAGCCTGCACTCATGGCACTTGTGGCAGAAGCCTGAATGGATCAGGCTGAAGAGTCTCTGCCACCAGCAGTGAGCAGTCAGCGTGGGCTGGGCAGGGAACCAGACTTGCTTCCCTGGAGAAGTCTCCTGGAATAACCATACTCACACGCGCAGTGTGACAGCAGTGTCAGCTGTCTGCTCACAGGAGCCCTGTGATGAACGTCCACCTGGCTGAGCTCCAGCCCCAAGTCACCAAGCTTGGGCCAGCTGGGAGCAGCCCCCAAGAAGGTGTGAACTGGGGCTGGGAAAGCATGGATATGTTCTGCCCTGGCCCTGCCTGCCTTCCCGCCTAAAAAGTGCCTGGGTGTCCCTCATGCAGCCTGGTGGGATGACTAATGCATTGGCTATTGGGAATTCTGTGGCAGGGGAAGCCTCAGGAGCCTGGAGAAGCTGGGCTCATAGCAGCACCAAATCCTTGTACGAGGAAATTAAACTCTATTTATTCCTTTGTGAAGTCCTTACTGGACTCTGGCATCTGGTAGGAGCTGTGATGCTTATGATCATGGCTGTGAACGGAGACATGACTTTAGGGATTAGGATGGATCTGTGCAGGACATGCAGGTCAAGGGCATCAATCAGCCACAGTGGGCAAAAATTAGAGATGCCTAGCACCACCACTGTGGGCTCGCTGCTGGTCCAGAGGTTACAGTGCCCCCAGAGCAGCAGGCTGCATGAAAGCCAGGGATATCTTGCATTCACTCACCATCTCCTTTGCTTTGCAGCACCTTGAGAATGACAAGGAAGATCTTCACCAACACCAGGGAGCGATGGAGGCAGCAAAATGTCAACAGCGCCTTTGCCAAGCTGAGGAAACTCATTCCCACCCACCCACCAGACAAAAAACTGAGCAAGAATGAGACACTCCGGTTAGCTATGAGATACATCAACTTCCTCGTCAAGGTCCTGGGAGAGCCAGGCCTGCAGCAGACGGCAGTGGCAGCACGAGGCAGCATCCTGGGGTTCTTCCAGCAAGCCCCACACTTGCAAAGCATGGAGGAGCTGACACTGATTGAAAACTGTGGTGTCTCGTCACCTGGCATGAGCAGCAATATAGTAGAGTGCTGGTCAGAGACATCATCTCCCTAGCAAACAATGAGACATGCAGTCTTGGCAGTAGTCTGATAGTCCCCTTTTTTTTGCAGAATTTGTGGGTTGCTCCTCTATGTATTGTGATTATTTATTTATATTTATTACTGTTTTATTTGGTATACATTTTTATTTAATAGGAAAGGAAATCATTGGTCAGCCAACAACCTGGAAGACCAGACAGAGAAATTGCAGCCCCTGGGAACTTGGAAGGACTCACGGCTGTCACAGCAGAGTCCAAGCCAGAAGAGCCTTCTGCCCTGATCTCCTCCATAAATCAGGCCATAGAAATTCATCCAGTGTTTCTGGCAGGGAAGGAGATTATTCTCCCACGCTATTTCAAGGAAACACTACTTGAGTTCAAGAATGATGACTACACCACAAAATTTGTCCAAGACAGACATCTGACCTTGGTAGTGAAAGGTTTTGAGAGATACAGTATTTGCCACAGTCCTCCACCAGTGGTTCCAGGGGCAAACTGCACTCACTCTTGAGCCTGTGAGTCTTATTTTCAGCCTGATTCCTTTTTTTTTTAAAATACAAATCCTAGCCCTTGAACCTGGCTACGTCTTTCTCCATCAGTCTGGAGGGATCCCTAGTGTCAGAGAAAAATGCTATTAAACAAAATTAAAAATTAGGTTAAAGCAAAAATGCCAATTTAAAATAAATCAAGACGTAGTCATAGATGTATTTCAGTGGGTTCAACAGGCAGAGTAAACCTCTTCCATAGCAGTGACAGCGTGCATGTGAATGAAGCTGGTCAGCTATACTCCAGCTGCATTAAAACCCCAGAAAATAGGTTGGTGGCTAAACATCTTTGTTCTTCAACGTCTGACACAATGGGGGAGGTCCTGTTTTGGGAGGGAGGTCCCAGGAGAAAGGCCTCAATGATGCACCATGAAAACCTTCGTGGAAACACCAGTGAGCAGGGTCCCTCCCCATGTTGAGGTGCAGGAGCAGCTGGAGCATGTCTGGGCCTGGCAGAAGGTGCTGGGCATGCACCACTGGTGCGGTGTGGTGCCCCTTTGGCATGGGGCTGTGTGCCACAGGCCTTGGGCATCGAGTTCCTGAACCAGCCCTGCTTTTGCTGCCGCTGGAGGCAGAACTGAGCTGCACACATCCTTACTGTCACCTGTGAAACCCTGGTGCTGTGATGCAGGGCTGTGTGAAGCTGGATTGATGTCTACCCCGGGTGGGGGACCAAGACCACGGAGAAGACTAGGGGCATGCTGCCTGTGTACCCAACTGACTGCCCTTAAACTCCCTGGTTTTGCCTGCTGTAGTTGAGGTTCCTCCATCTGGACGCTACCCCAAATGGGCTGACAGAGCAAGGACAAAGAAATTAGTGTAAGTGTCTTCCACTTGATTCAGTGGGTCAAGTGCCCTGTAGGGAACAACAACCACCATGATGTAGGTATTTAGATGATATGAAGGATGAAAAGAGGTTTCATGAAGGTGATCACTGAGGGTTGTTGCCCACAAATTAATTTAATTTCCTGATTGAGTTACAACCTGTGCCAGCAAAGGTCTGGACAGCTCATGCAAGTTACAAAGCCTCCTAGAGCAACAGAAGAAATTACACCAGGTTTAAGTAGAACTGCTGCCTGGTCAGATCCTGCTCCCACTGACACAGGTCCTTTTGATTGCCATGTGGACCAAGGTACATGTCAATGCCTAGAGAAGACAGCTATTCACCATTGGTGAAGAAATGGAGCTGTCATGTGCCAGGCATGTCCCTGGATGGTTTCTGTTTATTCATGAGGCAATGAGCTGCCTTCAGGAAGCAGAGAGAGAGAGTTTGTGCACATAACATGTACAGGTCTTCTGCACGAGGGGATTTGGCACCCAAAGGTGAGCCTCACCAACCACCAGGTGCACCAAAGAAGCAAGGGCTCACTCCAGCTAAGCGTGTATTGGGCTGTCCTGTGCATTGATGAAGACCAAGGTTTGGCAGGAACACAGCTCACCCCATCCAGGGCTGGTACTGTAAGGTACAGGTGTGCCAGTGGACAGATTTTTGACCAAAAGAAAAAAAAAAAAAAGCTGAAAGCATTCACAGTGATTGCATTTTGTTTCTGAGCACTGCTAATCTTCAGTTTGCTTATCCCTGCATTTCTGAGCTGTCAGGGCTGAGGACTGCACTGGAGAGCAGCTGAGTGGAAATATACTGAGAGTCTTTTGCACGGTTCGTGAAATCAGTACTACTTTTTCCCTGCCTCTGTCCTGTCCACTTCAATGTTACTGAATGGAGTCACAGCCTGTTCTGCACAGTGCCTCAAAGGTAATGAGCCAAGTCCTCCTCCCAGCTTTCTGTTGACTTGTTGGGAGTTACAGCAGGATAAATTAGTCCAAGTAAACCAGAGCAATTATTGGCAAGGTGTGGTAGTGCTACGTGGTCTATCAGCTGCTTGCTACCCTAGGAAACACATGTCACCAAGGCAAGCTGAAACATCTTGTGAGCAGAGTTACTGTCCAGGGAAGGAGAAGGAAAAGGCCAGCAATTTTGTAACATAACATGCATATTATATTTTCTGTCCTAAAAAGCTTCCCTTCTTCTTGTTGCTTTGGTTCGTATCAGTGCTTTCTTTGTTCTCCTTTCCATTTGGGAGCTCCCTATTCTCATGTTCAGCATGGATTTCACTAGCTCTATCTACCAAAGATTTTTTTGTTTTGTCAAGTTTCTTCGTGTTTTGGGGATTTCTTATCTGTATGATCATGAAAAAATATGGTGTAACTGATCACATTGTGTGCTATATGATGTTATTTAACATCTAATATATTCCAAATAAATTATTTAAGAAACTATTCCTTGTCTTCTTAAATGTCCCTAAAATTTCATTTAACATTTGCATGCCACTCGGTAGAGGATACCAAAACCATTACAGTGTAATTTCCAGCAGAGGATCATTCTACTGTTCAGCACTTACACAAGAGTCTTGGTGTTACAAGCAACATTATCAGACGATGAAGAATGACAGGAGTTCGTTGGTTACTATGACTTCTTACACTTTTTGGCTGAATTGTATTTCAATCTACATACTAAGAAGATTTTGACCAGCTTTCAAAAAAGACAGATAAATAAAATTTCATTGTGCAACACTGTTGTGTTTCTCTTCCAAACATTCACAATTCAGCAGATTTGAACCAACTCCATTTTGAAAAGCAGAAGTCACCCTAAAGAATTAATTTGGACTCTGATTCGAGTCTCTTGTTATCTGGAGATATTCAGATAGGCACAACCTATGGATATGGGCTGGAGTCCAGGTTCAGATATACTCATCCAAAGTTGAGGAGAGCTTAGGATGTAAAGCTGCTCTTCTGGCTACCACCTGGTGGGAACAACCTAATCCCCAACTGAATATGAGGCTGGGAGAGGGAGAGGAAGAGGAAGCACTAGGATGCAGAAGTTGTGAGGAAAAGATGGGAAATCACTGGGACACAGGACCAGTTTCAGTTTTGTGCTTACCTGGATGTCTCACAGCCCTGACACTTCTCTATGATACATCAGAAGAGGGATTTCTGCACACTTTGTCCCTGAGAAAGGTACTGTCTCAAGAGATAATATATAGAACTCAAGAAATCAGCAAATGTGAGGTTCAAAGTATGTATTTATACTAAACAAGGCAATGCCACCCTAGAGAGGACCCTCTGCTTAAGGCAGGTAATGCCAAATTAGTTAGTATGCTCAGGATCATGTGGCAATGCCTCCTCTGGAAGTAGGCATGGTATAGCTATGTTAACATGGTGCTGTGCTGTCAGATAATGGGACCTGTGGCATGGAGATGTACCACATCATTTGGAGCTGGCTGAAAACATCTTGCATATGTTGCAGCAGTGGCAAAACCTTCGTATAAATGACAAAAATGTTCCTAGTCTTAACGCCCCTACTGAGTCTCCTACTTGTAACTAGCTGTGCTAAATAGAGTTGTGTGAATAGCACTTTTTTTTTTCCTTACATAATTTTTTTGGTGAGGATCTGGCTGTCAATATTGCAAGGAAGACCAGCTAAGGTGGTATCTTCTGGAAGCATCTTTGGTATCTCCTGATACAAAAAGGCATGATGCAAAGTTAAAAGAGTCATGGCTCCCTCCAACCCAGGGTACTCCTAACCTGCACAAAGGGTGTGAGGTGTTCTCCCATGCCTTTGTGATACAGAAATCACAGTGAGACAGTCTTTTACTTGGAATTTCCAACAGGATCAATGGAAGAATATAGCTCCACATTTCAGGTCAGATGCGGTGCTAGGAGACAAGTGCCAATCTTCAGCTGTCACAGAACCTAAGAGAACTGGTGCCAGGAGACGTGCAAGGTACACCATCCTTAAAAGTAGCCCATGCATCACCAGAAATAAGCCTGCTGTGCAGACTGCTGTTCATATTGCCCACTTTCTCAGTATCTTCTTTGTGGCTATGGAGTGTAATTGAGGTTGGATATTTGCCATGACTGCCTCTTGCAAGGATGCTGTAGTCTTGTGCATGAATCCTAGTGATGGCCAGCCTGTGGTTAGAGGAAGGGCAGATCTGCAGTCAGGGTTTAGCCCTGAGATTCAGTGAATTCAAATCCTGCCTGATGTGAACACATTGCGCCTAGCACTAGACATTGCACAGCAAAATCCTAGGTCTGCATGGTGCCTTGCGTTTTCTAGAGTGTTGCCCATGCTGAGGAAGACTTTGTGGTGAGGCATGTGCTCAGCAGCCTTGTTAGTTGTACTGAGTCCAAATCAGGGAGGAGGAGGGTACAATGAGCATGGCGGGGGGACACTCAAGGATTCCTGAGCCAGCCAAATTAAATGGCAAAACAGAGTTTTCTTAGGACACTAAGACCCATCCCAGCATCTTGCTCTGAGGAAGAAGCAGAAGCTGCAGGGCCAATGTGTTTCAGAGGCATACAATTCATGAACCATTTAGTAATTCATCTTCCAGTATCTAACTGGCTCCCACAAATTTCTTTGCTGCTAGGGAATGACATGCAGTGACCATGGCTAAAGTAGTGTGAGCAAG